GCCTGAAGGGACATATAAAATAAGAATAATGAAATAGTGTAACATGAAAAGTATAGTTTTGAGAAAAACGAATTGGAAGTTTTTATAAACCATTACAAAGCATACAAATACCATTTCGTTTTTCGGGAATAAATTAGTGAGCCAAAGAAATATTTAAGAAAACTAAAGATTTTTCTGATAGATTAAAGGATTGTCTATCCAATGGTGCAATTATCAAATAATAGTGTATGTGGCTTTTACACTGTTTCTTTATTCGAGCGACGATATGATTTGGTTTATTTAATATGTTGTAAGGCATTTTTTTTTTTAAGAAAAAGGAATGTAGTAGAAAAGTTGAATTTAATAATTTTGTATTCATCATGTTCATGTTCATGTTCAGAACTGCACGTTTTCAGGAGATATACAAATTTTCCTACTAGAAAAGATACATATGTACGGCAGGATTTCTCCCAAGGACATCGAAAAAATTATTTAATGGAAAAGGCATAGTGGATTTGAAGGGGTATATTACAAGGCTGCAAAACTACATTTTTTTAGTCGAATAATTTGTGCATGTCCTGAAAATTTGCAATTTTATACCATTTTTAAATTAAATTTTTATATTCAACTTTTGTAACAAATTCTTTTCCTCCTTAAAAAAAAATGCATTTAATAATATTAAATAAACAAAAAATAAATAAATCGTTTTAGTGTTTGACATGTCCTCTCGGGTTGATTAAAGAATAAATGTGGCAGTGTTAATTAAAAAAATTGAAAAATATCCTTTGAAATTTTTATTCTTTAGTATCCTTATATATATTAATAAGATTTAAATTAAACTAAGATTCTTCAAAACTCATTCAAAATTAAAAATTTTGAAGGATAATATTTTTAAAGGACATTTTTGACATGTTCCAGAAGGATAATTGAAAACAAAAGTTATAGTTAATCTTGTTTCGAATTCTTCTTTCACTTGATACCCATATCTCCATATTTTGTGTAAACTTTTGGGAATATATTATAATTTATGGTCCTTTGGAAAAAATCCTGACTACCAGGTAAAAAACCAAAAACGCATATTTACTAAGTATTATGTCCTAATACTGTAGGGGTATCGTAATAACGTCTTATAAAGAAGTAAAATGAGTAAATTAACAAAACACGCGAACTGCAACAAGCTTATTCTGATAAATTTGACTGCAAGTCGGCACGGGTTTCCGTGGTTAGAATTGCATAAAATTTTATTCGGATGGTTTTTAAGATAACACCAATGAAATGAGGGCGTATGCGTAAAAAAAAACAATGTTGGTTTTTTGGGACAGTCTAATGTACATACATACAGATATCTGTACGGATTTTCTCTAATAATATTGTCACACTTTTTTTCTTTCTTGTTCAATATCCTCATTAACACATATATATATATAAATATATATATATACATATATACAACAACAATATTCATTTTGCCGCCATTGACTTTGATCGCTCTGGTTCCACCGATTAGCAGCAGCATTTGGACACAGCCGGAATTCCCCTCTTCGGAAACCGGTCTAACTTACAGTGTTGCACGTACTGGCCTTGCGGCAGCTGGCAACTGCCGTCAACATCAAAATCGCCAACGCCAATTGCTACAAAAGCAACAGCAACAAAAGCAATTGCAGCTGCAGCAACAGCAACAACCAGTGCAACTATGCGGTAAGTCAGTCAAGACCACAAGTTCTTTCATTCCAGAATCGGTGTGTTCGTCCTCGTCCCAGACACAATCGACAGCTGTTGCTGCTTCACCGAATAGTGATCATCAGCATCAACAACAACAACAAGAGTATCAGCAGCAATCTCTTCATCAACATCATCATCCGCATAGTCATAATCATGCAGTTCATTCGCATCTAAATCATTACACACATAGTGGGCATGCGCAACTGCAACAACAACAACAGATAGAGTAAGTCTTGTCTTGGAAATATATATATATATATGTATATAAAAAATATGGGCCAAATTCCTGCAACCAAAGCCAATCTAATACATTCATCGGTATATGGGTCATGCTTTAGTATATATGTATGTATATACGTATGATAGTTTCTTGTGCCTAATCGCTTACAAGGGGCGTTCTTAAATCGGTACGCTAAGCAAAAACAATACTTTTTCACTGTTTGCATATACATATGTACCTACATATATACATACACACATATGTATGTGTCTACTTATACATATGAGCCAAAAGCTCTGAAGTGTTCCAACAATTTATAGAGAGTAGGGCTTTTTGGCAAAATTGATTTTTCTGGCTCACAAAGAAAAAATAAAAAAACATGTTTGTGAAGTTTTCAAAGTTATTGCTAGCAAGGTTTTGACACCTGTTTGACAACTGTTTTTGCAAAAGTGTAAATTTCAATGCGGATTCCGATAGTATCCCCATTAGGGCGGGTCAATTTTTTTTTTTGAGTATGCGCGTATAGCATAGGAGGATTCTACGTATAATTGTAATTAAATTTGCCGTAGAAACCATGGGTCTAAAATCAGTTTGGAGTTTCCCAAATTGAGAACATATGTTTCGAAGAAAATGTGAAAATTTTCAATGTTGCGCCCTCTGGTGAAAGTTTTAAGAAAAAGATAAGTGCAGAAATGGATTCCTCATACCAAAAACCTTTTACAGCATACATGTAGAGAACATTTAATCACTTCTTTGCGACGCTACAACAAAATGCTTAGAAAATTATTTTCGCGATTTGGTAAATAAACTCCAAATTGATTTTAGACCCATTTTTTGTTCGGAAAATTTGCTTAGAATTATACGTATAATCCTCCTTTGCTATACACACAAATTGCACCGCCCTAATACCCATCCAGTAAAATTTTTGTTTGGGAAAATTTTGCCTTCAGGCGATAAACCCCTAGAAATGGGGGTGGTAATCCCAGGACTAAAGTTCACAAAAAAAAAATTTTTTTGCTGATTTCGGCAGAATAATCTTCATTTACAACACTTATTCCGAAACTTTGTTTTAGAATCGAAGAATCTTCTAGAAATGACCGGCGCACTTTTAGGACCAAAGCTAAAAATTTTAGACTTTATTGTAGATATTGTCGCTAGCAATGGTCTCCAACTTGTTTAGGGAAAGTCTTATTTTGAAGTTGTTGCAAATGCGCATTAAAATTTTTTTTTAAGCTACAGTGCTAGCTATATGAAGAAGGGGGATAAACCGACCAATCACTTCGAATGGTAACTTTCGCATCACATTGCACATTCGCATTTAATTAGCTGCCCGAAAATATCAATACATAATACACATTTTCTCAGCTTAGTAATGTCGAAGATATGCGCGTTACAGTAAAGGACACTTTTCGAATAAATAAGCAGGGTGTCCTTGCCATGCATATATTATACCTGGATATGTATTTTATCAGAATCAGCAGTAAAATTTTAATTTTTGCGAATTCCGATGATTAACACCTTACTAAATCTATCTCAACATAAGTTTTCGAAAACAAATTTATTATTTATTATCTTAAAAATAGTTCTTGAAAACCCCCAAATTTTTTTAAACATGTTTTTATAGAGAATTAAACAAGGAATACGATGGTATAATTTTAAATCTCTAATTTACTGGTCTTCCATATGTAAATAGTCTTCAAAAAGTTCAACTACTATAGCTAAGTTGGCTTAGGGACAATCTTGAACACCTTTTATATATAAGCCCGTTTCCTTAGCTTTAAAACGACGTTAATATTAAGACTCTAGGATGCGCAGAACCCGAGATATAATGATCTGAAGTAGTATATGATAAGTCAGAATCACGAAAAAATGCAAACTTTGACAGATCACATCTCCGAAGAAAAAAAATAAAAAAAATATTCCTCGAACACGTATTAGCTTATTTCACGTATAGAACCCATCAAAAAAATCTTAAGCCAATCGAAAGTGTGACACCAAATTTGGTTTGGTTTCATTAAAAAAACCAAAAAAAAATAAAAACTTTGCAAAAAATTATAAAATCTTAAAAAAATTTTTGACAAATATGATGACATCAATATAACGAGAGTACCAATACTTTAGTACAAACTTTATGTTGGTTGGTTGGTAGAAGCGTAGCCTGGGTACATTCCCAGGACCCAATTAGTGCTGAAAGCACCATTTTGAAACGCTTTCTCTGGGACCCCTGATTTTATCTGCTTTCATGATTCGTTGGGTTCATCAAACCATTTGGATCTTCCCATGAATCTATTTAGGTTAGTAATGGTAAATTTGGAAATTTCCCCAAGATTTTGGATGAAAAACTCCCAAGTGTGACCTGCCTTATTTGTGCCAATACTGGGCACTCGCAAAGATATTGAAGGACCGTCTTTTTACTACCCACAAGATTAGAGATACGGCAACGAGGGTTATACGGAAGGCCCATTTTAGCTGCATGTTCACCAATGGGCCAATGTACCGTTAGCGTGGCTATTAGTTTTACCATATCTTTCCTCGACCTCTTGAGAAGTTCTTCTGTCTTTGCCTTGTCATAGTGTGGCCATATGTTCCTCGCAGTTTTGCAGGTTTGAAGGTTGTTCCGACGTGTATCAGCCATACGTGTGAATTGCAGATGCAGTTCCCCTCTGATGAGTCCGAGTGGACAACTTACAGTTTCTGCTCCGAACTCATCCAAAGATGCTCCGGTCTTAGCGAACTCGTCAGCCCTCTCATTACCGCGTATGTTCCTATGGCCGGGAACCCAGATGAGAGTGATGTATATTAACTCGGCCGCCGAGCTTAACACATATTTGCAATCTCTGCCTGTTTTGGATTTTGTTATCGGTGAAGCAAGTGCCAGAAGTTCCGCTTGGCTATCTGAAAAAATTTATGCTTTTCGTGCACCTACGCAGTTCATCGCTAGTGCCTTATAGGCCCTTTCGATGGCGAGTGCTTCCGTCGAAACGAGAGAGACACATTCAGCGTTTCAGGGAACCGTCAGTATAGATTTCAGTGGAATTCTCCTCGACTATCCCGCCCCTACTCCAACCCCGTCTTGAAGGAAACTTCCCCTGAAAGCTTTTCCTGAAATCTGTCGTAGGAGGTATATAATGTGATTGTTTCCCTGATTCGATAAGTTTGTCAAGAATACCACTATGGTCGTGCTGCAGCCCCAGCCTCCAGCAGCCTGACTGTTTGAGTCTGAGTGCCGCAGACGCAGCAGTTTTGCGGATATGGAGTTCTATGGGTAGTTGATGCAGGATTACATTAAGCGCATCAAATGGGCACCACTTAATTTCCCCTGTAGCACCTGCACAAGCTGCTCTTTGTATACTGCCTAATTTCCTGACGTTGTATTGTTTATCTAGTGCTGGTCACCAAACTAACGTCGCATACGTTAGTATTGATCGTATGATAGCCAACTACATCCAGAGGGCAAGCTTTGGCTTCAATCCCCAGTTTCTACTGAATATTCTTTTCTTCTTCTTCTTATTTGGCGCTGTAACCGCCTAAGCGATTTTGGCCGAGTCCAAAACAGCACGCCAGTCATTTCTCTTCTGTGCTAACTGACGCCAATTGAAAAAAAAATGCCAAGTGAAGCCAAGTCCTTCTCCACCTGGTCTTTCCAACGCAGAGGAGGCCTTCCTCTTCCTCTGTTCCCAGCATCGCGGCCCGCGTTGAATATTTTCAGAGCAGGAGCGTTTCTGTCCATCCGAACGACATGGCCAAGCCAGCGGAGCCGCTGAATTTTAATTCGCTGCACTATGTCTATATCGTTGTAAAGCTCATACAGCTCATCGTTAAATCGTCTGCGATATTCGCCATCACCAACGCGTAAAGGTCCGTAAATCTTTCGCAGAATCTTTCTCTCGAAAACTCCAAGAGCCGCCTCATCAGATGCTTTCATTGTCCATGCTTCCGCGCCATACACCAGCACAGGCATGATGAGTGACTTATAGAGTGTGATCTTTGTACGACGAGAGAGGACTTTACTTCTCAATTGCCTACTCAGCCCAAAGTAGCACTTGTTGGCAAGAGTGATTCTCCGTTGGATTTCAAGGCTGACATTATTATTGGTGTTAATGCTGGTTCCCAAATAAACGAAGTCGTCTACTTTTTCAAACTTGTAACTGTCAACAGTGACGTGGGTGCCAAGACGCGTATGCTCTGACTGTTTGTGTGCTGACAGGAGATACTTCGTTTTGTCCTCGTTCACCACCAGACCCATTCGCTTTGCTTCTCTATCCAATCCCGAGAAGGCAGAACAGACGTAGCCCTTGTTTTTACCGATAATATCGATGTCGTCGGCATACGCCAGCAATTGTACGCTCTTATAAAGTATTGTGCCTGAGCGGTTCAGTTCTGCGGCTCTTATTATCTTCTCCAACATAAGATTAAAGAAATCACACGAAAGGGAGTCCCCTTGTCTGAAACCTCGTTTGGTATCAAACGGCTCGGAGAGGTCCTTCCCTATTCTGACGGAGCTGGTGGTATTGCTCAACGTCATTTTACACAGCCGGCATTTTTACATCGCGGCATAAAGGCAACTTCTCTTCGTGCTGTCGAAAGCGGCTTTGAAATCGACAAATAGATGGTGTGTGTCGATCCTATTCTCGCGGGTCTTTTCCAAGATTTGGCGTATTGTGAATACCTGATCTATGGTGGATTTTCCAGGCCTAAAGCCACACTGATAAGGTCCAATCAGCTCGTTGACGGTGGGCTTCAGTCTTTCGCACAATACGCTCGATAAGACCTTGTAACCTATGCTTAGAAGGCTGATCCCGCGGTAGTTGTCGCGAATGGCGGGGTCACCTTTCTTTTGGATTGGGCAGAGCACACTTAAATTCCAGTCGTCGGGCATGCGTTCATCTGACCATATTCTGCACAAGAGTTGATGCATGCACCTTATCAACTCCTCGCCGCCGTACTTGAATAGCTCAGCTGGCAGGCTGTCAGCTCCAGCGGCTTTGTTGTTTTTCAGCCGCGTTATTGCTATACGTACCTCTCCATAGTCAGGCGGTGAAACGTCGACTCCGTCATCATCGACTGTGGGCTCGGGTTCTTCTTCTCCACAACTTTCAGCGCTGCTACCATTCAGTAGGTTATAAAAGTGTTCCCTCCACAATTTAAGTATATTCTGGACATCGGTCACTAGGTCGCCATTGTTGTTCTTACAGGAGTTCGCCCCGGTCTTGAAACCTTCCGTAAGTCGCCTAACCCTCTGGTAGAATTTTCGGGCGTTCTTCCTGTCGGCCAGCATCTCAAGCTCTTCGCACTCACGTATTTCGGCCTCTCTCTTCTTATTGCGGCAAATACGTCTCGCTTCCTTCTTCAGTTCCCTATAACGGTCCCACATGGCTCGCGTTGCGCCCGATCGCAGCGTGGCCCTGTAGGCGGCATCTTTTTTCTCTGCTGCTTCTTGACATTCCCCATCGTACCAGTTGTTCTTTCGGGCTCGCTGAAATCCAACTACTTCTTCGGCGGCGGTACTTAATGATCGGGAAATGTGGTTCCACTGCTCGCGTACGTCGGATTGTTGAAGAGTGCTCTCAGAGAGCAGGTGTGTGAGTCGAGTGGCGAATAAATTGGCCGTCTGTTGTGATTGCAGCTTTTCGACGTTAAGCTTTCCTTGCATTGTTGGGCGCACATTTTTTGCTGCACAGAGGCGGGTGCGTATCTTGGCTACAACAAGATAGTGGTCCGAGTCGATGTTTGGCCCTCGGAGTGTACGTACGTCCTTGAAGCATGCCTTCCGTCTATCACAACATGATCGATTTGGTTTCTCGTTTTTCGATCTGGAGACAGCCATGTAGCTTGGTGGATGTTCTTATGCTGGAACCTAGTACTGCATATTACCATATTTCGGGCCCCGGCGAAGTCGATCAGCCTCAGTCCGTTATCGGACGTTTCGTCGTGGAGGCTGAATTTTCCGACAGTGGCGCCAAAGATCCCTTCCTTGCCCACCTTGGCATTAAAATCGCCAAGCACGATTTTGACATCGTGTCGGGGGCAGCGCTCATATGTACGTTCCAAGCGCTCATAGAAGAGATCCTTGGAGGCCTCATCCTTCTCTTCCGTCGGGGCATGGGCGCAGATGAGCGAGATGTTGAAGAATCTAGCTTTGATGCGGATTGTGGCTAGACGTTCGTCCACCGGGGTGAACGCCAGTACTCGGCGACGGAGTCTCTCTCCTACCACGAATCCAACACCGAACTTGCGCTCCTTTACGTGGCAACTGTAGTAGACGTCGCAAGGCTTCACGCTTACTTTACCTTGCCCCGTCCATCGCATTTCTTGGATGGCGGTGATGTCAGCCTTTGTCTTCCCGAGGACATCAACCAGCCGGGCAGAGGCACCTTCCCCATTAAGGGTCCGGATATTCCAGGTGCATACCCTTAAATCATAGTCCTTTATACGTTTGCCGTGGTCGTCATCAGAAAAAGGGGGTCTCATCCGAGGCTTGTTGGAATTTTTCATTGGGCGGGGTTTTAACGTGGCGGGACCCAAACCCAGCGCACGCGAAGTTTTACGCCTTCTCACTTTAGCTCGCTCCCAAACGGGTGTTTGGTTGCTACCCAGAGGATACGTGGATATAAATATCCGGACGTTGTGAGCTGCGATTTGAACCGTACGCACAAGAATCGCTTCTGGCCACTCCCAGGTGAATGGCAGTCAAAAGTTTTCCACTTCTGCGCACGGAACCATCCTCCTGAACCTGAATATTCTTTTACATGTATAATAACCTGTGTAAGCGCTCTCAACTCACCTCTCTATATTTGTGTTCCAGCTCAGCTTGGTGTCTAATACGACACCCAAGTGTTTAGCCCCAAAGGACAACGTGAGAGACGTTCCATTACGGATGGGAAGCCTGAATTGTGGTATTTTTGTTTTGTTGGTGAACAGAATCAGTTCCGTCTTGCTAGGGTTGACACCCAATCCACTTTTTGTAGCCCAGGTGTTTAGCCGAAGCAAAGCTCCCTCTAGGATTTCACTAATCGTTGAAGGGAAGAGACCTGATACAGCCACCACTACATCATCTGCATATGCTTCTACTTTCACTCCACCCTTGTTGAGATCCAGTAGAATGTCATTCAGTACCACCACCCATAGTAGCGTGGACAGAACTCCCCCTTGGGGAGTGCCTCTATTTGCATGACGGGGCAGCATTACTGAACCAATGGTTGAAATTATGATTCTGTTTTTGAGCATTTGTTCGATCCCCACGCATATGTGGTCAGATATTTCCACCTTCACAAGAGATCGAACAATTGCTTCGATTGTAATGTCGAGGAATGCCGCCAAAGTGTACTGCTTGTAATGGAGCGATTTTTCTATGATACCCACGACTTCATGAAGGGCAGTTTCAGTTGACCTGCCCTTAATGTATGCATGTTGAGCTTTGGAAAGTTTGGAATTTCCCAGAAAATGTCTGATATGTAGGTCTAGAAGTCTTGCCAGTACCTTTAGCAGGAAAGATGTTAGACTTATTGGTCGGAAGTCTTTGCTTTTTCGTGATTTCTTCTTCCCGGTTTGGGAATGAAGACAACTTTGACTCTTTTCCAGCTTTTCGGAATATACGTCAAGCTGATACTGGCTTTGTATACCCTTTCCAGCCAGAATACCATAGGCTCCTGTAATTTCTGGGGCATTATCGGAATGATGCCATCTGGACTAGGGGGTTTGTATGGGGAGAATTTATTTATACCGCACTTAATTTTTTCCTTGTCTGCGATTGAGTCGAGTAACTCTTTTGAGAGCTGCTGACGATTTGCATGAGGCCATGTTTTTGGCCTCTGATCGCAGTCAGGCAATTGTGTATTTATGAGGGTCTCTAGTGATTCCTCCGCTGTCTTTGTCCATGCATCGTCCTCTCCCTTAGTAAGGTTGGGGCTGGTGTATTCCTTGGATAAAACTTTGCTTAGTCTGGCGGAATCCCTGCAGTTGTCTATGGATGTGCAATTGGACTGCCAAGAGTCCGCTTTAGATTTCTTTACTAGTTTTTTGTACTGCCTTAATTCATCTTTGTATGGCTGCCACAGTTTTGTTCTGTAGCACTCGTTAAAGATTTTTCTGAGATTTGACCTGAGCTGCCTAAGCTCCCCCGTCCACCATGGAGGCGATTTTTTCATAAGGACGCTTACTGGCTGGTGTCGATTTTTTAAAAGCTATGTCTAGAGTTTTTTCCAGTCTTATCTACTGTGTTGTCTTGTTCTACAGCAGTTGTAATCTCCTTTGATTTACTACCGTCTAATTTACCTGACGTTAGCCTGATAAATTTTTCCCATATAGTTCCTCTCGGATTCCGAAATAGGGAAGAGGTAGTGGGCTTACCGCGAATGCTGAAGAGTATCCAACAATGATCCGACATGGATGTTTCACTGGATACTCTCCAGTCATCGACCACAATACCAACTGTTGCTAAAGTTAAGTCCAGTACCTCTTCCCATCCCGCAAATCTTTCGGAGCTAGGAAATATAAAGGTCGGACTCTGTCCAAACCGAAATTTGCAAGGAATGACGAAAAATTGTTCCACAAAACATCATACTCCTAGCATGTCAAAGATACCAACGACCAAAATTAGAAGATATGTATGTATCTCATTTAGTTACTAAAAGACTGACATAACTAAAAAACAGAGATTTTGAGCGAACGCGTTTAAAACATTCAATTTGCTTCTAAAGAGCAGACAAATGTGATCCATATTATCTTCTTACTCGAAAACTATAGCAAAAATTTCACTTTTTGATGTATGACAGCCTTTTAGTAAATGAGCTGTATGTACATATGTATGTAGTTAAGAAATGTTAAGTTTCGACCACCTGCTGAAAAATTTTCTAATATTGTTTTAATTTTATTAAGAACTAAGCATTCGGATTCACATATGTATGTACATATTTTCTTATACAGTCAACGACAGCGCGAATACATCGATGTGCCACTTCCCAAATCCATTGCCAAGTCAGTGGCAGCTAATCGCTGTGCAGCATTGGAAAACGAGCCCACGCCGTTGCCATTTGTACTTAAATACAATTCATGCCAGCCGGTCAATAATCTGTAAGTTTAAATAATAATCTAAAAGAAAAAAAAAACGTAAAAACAAACCAAAAAGTACACACACACACGCAAAGCCGAAAGCTTGAACAAAGCAAACCAAAACCTTTTCAATAAGCGTAATTTGTATACATTAGGGTGTCTCACTAAAAACGCAAATCATAGAGTTAAATCTACTGCTACTAATGCGCTTAGTATTTTTTAGCCTTTTCACTTTAAAAATTAATAGTTTTAACTTTGTTATAAAATGAGTGATTATTGAAAATTAAAATGAAAATATGAAAAATTTAAATTAAGCTACAAACCCTTTTTGTTGGCCCTTTTTCCCTGTAATTTTACATTTGAGGGCTTAGGTGTGAACATGAGTTTAAAAATCCATTTTCTCCATCGCCACATGAATTGGTTTGAACACTAACTTTCCACCGAATCAGATGAACATAGTGAACGTTTTCTCCATGTAGGTTTAACCACGGAAAGTAGATACAAAGGAAATAACTTGAATTGATTTATAGGCTACAAATTCTTTTGGGAATTTGTTATGGTAGGTCTAGACTTTCGTTTACTTTTGGTCTTATCAAATACGTAAGCATACAACACAATATTTTTTTAATGATATTAATAGTTGTAGGAAATATTTTCCCGTTCCTACCGTGGAAATGCTAATTTTTCTGTAAAGATGATGAAGTTAAAAAGTTTATGAATAATCAGTGGTATAGGAGATATAGCTTATACAGCATCGCTTTGACGATTTTCTAAGTAGACACCGTATGATTATTTAGAAAATAGCTCACAAAATTTGTGATTTTAGCCGTACAAACGAAGAAGTTTCAAAATAAAACCTATCTGAACAGTCAGTTGTATGGAAGCTATAAGTTATAGTAACCCGATCTTTATCATTTGCACTGTAAGCTTTCTGTTGATAACGACCGAAAATAGTGCGAAATTTCATGTTCATATAACGCCTTATCTTATATCTGAATAATCAGTTATAGCTCCCATATGTCATAGTGTTCTGCTTTTTCTGGTTTCACAAATGATTAATATATTGTAAAAATTCCCCCGCTTATCGAACGTGATTCACCCTAATGTTCTTAGTTACATACATCCGCACATACATACATACCCTGCAGGAAACCTGGCTAGCGTAGAACTAGTCCTTTTACCGACAGCACTAGTTCTAGCTCAATACCAAAGCAATGCTTTCAACTGTCCAGTTTTACATGGCAGTGTCATTGGCGGTGGCAATTGTCGTCTAGTGCATTACTTTGCAAACTAGTTTTTAACCGGTTCCGTTTTGGACAATTTTTTTTTAAGAAAACGTTTTTAAGATTCGATTTTTGCACATTTTTTCGTTTTTTCTTTTCTGTTACAGATTCCATTCTTGTTGCATATTTTATTAAAAGAAAATATATATATTTTAAGCCGTTCGCAACAATTTAAATTCATTAACTTTGAAAACTCACAACTGCCTCCACCGCGATTTGAACTCGCGACCGACGATGCTTGAGTCGGAGGTCGTCTCGCTGAGGTACTTTCGTATTTTGCGAGTAGTGGTGAGCATTTGCACATTTATACCGCAAATTTCAAATCTCCCGCCCTGGAGCCGTTTTGCACTAGTTCAGAGATTGTTCTGATATCTGTAGTTCGGAACTAGAGCTTTGTCAGACTGTCGCTAAATTTTACTGCAGGGTATATACGCACGTAAATATGTACATACATAGGTATATGCGTGTAAAGAAACAATGCTTAGGAATGGAATGTTGTCTTTCAAACACAAGCTGGGTTTTACCAGAGTTTTTACAACCTTTTATTCTTATATACTTACATACAGCTGCGGTCGAAATAATACCACTAAATTGATATTGTTTGCAACTCATGTTTACGAATTATTTTAAACTTTCATTTAAAATATATATATATAAAATTTTTTATAATAATAAGTAGTAGCAGTAGAGCAGCTAGTTGTTGTTTTTTTTTTCAAATTAATTTGGTCTTCAACTTTCAAATATTGTTAATTTGTTTCTCAAAAACAGCAAACAACGCTAGTTTTTGGGCTCTGCAGAGATTGTACATACTGATGCTTCTGTACTGAAACAATTTTCCAAAGAAAGATTGTCAAACAAATTTTTAAAATTTTTTACTTAAATTTTTCTGTTTAGATTTTTGCTTATGCATGCATACGTATTTCACATACGTACATAGTCCTCGATGATATTTAAAAACAAGTAATTTTTAAGCAAAAAATATAACCGACTTCAATTCTCATATTTTGAAGAAATCTGTTAACGTGGCCCAAAGTTATGTATGCGGTAACATACATTAAAAAGAAAAATACTCCGACGAATTGATAACCTCCTCCTCTTTTGGAAGTCGGTTAAAAAGTAGAATATATTTTTGACACTTTAGCAACAACAGAATACACTTACATGTTGTTTTTGCTCTAATGCTACTACTATTTCATATGCCTTGGTTCGACTTATAACAGAAACCATATACCTAAAAATTTCAAAGCTTATGCAAAGTTCACAATAATTAATAAACTCCAAAAAATTTCATACGAATTACCAGTCGCCGATAATTCAAAAAGTTTCATATTTTATTTTTATATCAAAGAAAATGCTCAACACTCTCGGCAAAAAAATTCTAAAGAATCAATGATAATCTTTAGTGACTTGAAACATATACTTTGTTGCCTTTAAATTGAATGGGCTACAAAACTACGTACTCGAAATAAAAATTTTGAAATTTTGATGAAATGTTTTTAAATTTGATTATTTGTTGTGAAGTTTGTGCAATCTTTGAAACTGATATTAATGTGGTTTCTGTAGTAGGTCGAGCTATAATTTAAATGAAAATGACTAAAAATAAATAAATAAAGACAAGTTGCAAGCAACAACATTCTGAATTTTGGTACTATTATTTTGACCTCGGGCGTATGTATGTATGTAGGTACCTACACTCATTCACAGACATATAACAAATACCGTAGATTATAACTCCACATATGTATGCATGTTTATTTCTCTCAATAGTTCACCCAGCGCATATGAGACCTCCATGTTTTCGCTGCATTCGAATGGTCAAGATTCTGGAGTTGACTTTCTAAGCAGCCGTGAACTGTATGAAACTTCGCCAGATTCTTTCAAAACCAGTTCACAGCATTCACAAAGTATGAATACCTTGGAGTTATTGTGCCCCAGACATGCCAAGCACAAACATAGTGGCAACAGCAACAACAACAACACGAGTGGTAGTGGCGGCAGTGCCACAGCAGCGATGGGAAATGATAGCAGGTAATGAGATTTTGTTAAATTTGTAAATATATACTTTCTTACTTAACAGCGTTTCCTTTCCTTCCCTTGCCTAATGTTTCTTTTTTTATTTCTCTGTTAACTTTACAGTGACAACTATGAGGATTCGCTGAAGAATGACGAGCCTTTGGTGGCCTCTAACTGCCGTAATCCGAATGCCATGCATAATTCACTTTGCGATCACCACCGACACGACTATCAGAATACCAAATTTGAAAAACGTTCTGGCGTGCGACACTCTTTTTCCGGCATTAAGGATGACTTGGTGCAAAATTCGCCGCAGATTTCAATACGCCCGCGTGGCCATATATTACGCAACTCCATGAACGATCTGGAGGAACGGCTGCATAATTTGGAGCAATCGTTTCGCCGGCCGATGGACTATGCAAAGTCTAGCTCAATTTTTTAAAATAACTTTAGCGCTATGTGGCTAGGCATGTTAAATTGTAAACAAATATTTACACATATAGTTAGTTTTTAAATGTATTTTATTTAGTAGCAAAGTACCTGTTGCAAGAGTATTTGATAGAGCAGTGAGACGTGCAATAAATAAGAATTTTACCAAAAAAATAATACATATAAAATATAATACCAGTGTTTCACTCAAATAACTACATTTTTGTACATGACAATTAGCGCACAGCTTTAAAGCTATAAACTAGATTTTAACCTAATGAAAGAATTTCGCCTTGAACTCCAAACAGCCCGCCCAGTTCTCGTCGAAACCGGGCACCACCTTCTTGGCATTGGCATACCATTTAGCAACATTAGCATATTTGCTAAAATCAAAACCGGCCACATCAAATGTGGACACGGTGGCAGCAATTGCGATGTCGGCTAAACTGAGTGAGTCGCCAGCGACATAGCTGTGCCCTTCCAGGAAGGTATCCAACAGTTCGAAGGCGGTTTCGATTTTCTTATACAACTGTGGATCAGCAGGCGCACCGGCGAATAGTTGCGGGTAATAGTAGTTGGCAAAGCTCTCATAGAGCGTACCCATATCGAAGTATAAACGTTGATTGATTACTGCCCTCTTTTTGGGACATTTGGGAAGCAGTGAGTTGTCTTTGCCGTATTTCTCTGCCAAATAGACAATGATTGCGCGCGATTCCCAGAGAGCAAAACCATTATCCACTAAAGTTGGAATGGTATGTTGTGGATTAAGCTTGAGGTATTCGGGCTTCAAGTGTTCGCCGGCCATGAGATTCATATTCTTCTTATTCAGGCTAAGACCAAGTGCTTTTGCCGTCATTATGACCGACCGACAGGGAGAAGAACCGGCAGTGTAGTAGAAATCCATATTTTCGCTGATTGTTTGTTTTTTGCTTTTTGCTAAAAAAGAGAAGGATTTTTTTTAATTAAATTACCTTTTGTATTTTTTGCGAAAGTATGCAAATAGGATAAATTACACGGTAATAGAAATTTCGGCGTAAGATCTGACAGCTACTCTAATTGAGTTCGACAAAATTCAAGCGAAAATGACTATGAATGACCGCTCGAGTAGCAAATCTTACCCAACTCAGGCAAAATATAATTTAGTAAGTTTTTCCTTTTATTTTTAAACTACATACTAAATTTAGTAGAAATTAATAAAAAATATTTTTGACTTCTATTTTTTCTAAATTTCCATATCCAAGCATTTCAAATTCAAATGACGTTATTGTTATGCTTTATATTCAATAGCTCGATTTCCGCCAGAGCTAATAAATAAAAGTACAAACATAAATACACATGAAAAATTGGCTTTCAAAGTTGCCTTCAAAACTCATTTAACCTTGCAATATCTAATTTGGAATGTATGTAGTATTTATATTTTCGCTTTAATTTTTTACACAATACTTGGTGATTGTACGCTTGTAAGTAGGTAGATATTTTTTGTAATCACTCTTCGCCAAAACACTGAACCATATTTCTATATTTGTGTGAATGAGCCGGCTCGAGAATCAATGGAGCTCCTCTAGTAGGTACATATGTATGTATTTACTTACATATTCCTTAAGCTTACCTTAATGTTTAAAACTTGTGTGATAAATTAACAACTGATGCCAAAGCGGCTAGTTCTTGGTCTTTTATACCTACTAAATTGAGCTCTACGTGTTTTAAACCAGCTTCGCGTTTTAAAAGCCACTCTAAGCAACTACTATGAATCATTGTGCTTTTAGAGTCTGGAAGTTGAGCTTTATTACTTGCAAAAGCGGCATAGTGCATGTGGATCTCTCAAAATTTTTCTCTTATCGCAAGTAGAAATAATATACATATATGCACAAATATTGTTGTTTGATAAGTCAGTGGCTTTTTGAATAGAAGATATTTTTTCGGCAAAAAAGCTTTTTATTTCTCAACACGGTATCGATATGTCCAGCTTTTTGCAAATATCCGTATTTATTCCTTCCAAATAATAGGTTTTCTTAAGGCCTTCAAAGTAGGCATTTCTTTCAGCGATGGTATTTTAATTCGACCCAAATCTCTTACCACCAGGATTGCAAACCAGTTTGAACCGAACCAGTGTTTGAACTGAGCCGCCGCTTTTTTCAGGCTTATAACCGAACCACGATCCGAGCCCTTTCGGTTTTGAAATGCCGCCAAAAATCACTTCAAAAAATGGTTCGGTTCGGTTCAAAATAAAAATCCACTAAGCATTTTTCTAATTTGGTAATACATATCAAAAGCCTCATATTAAGTAGTCTACTAACAGTTAAAGTCACTGACTTATCAAACTACCCTTGTTTAAATATACACAGAAATATATTAATGTATGTATCTATATGTACGTGCACACACACATTCGTTAAACGTTTGAAGAAACACTGTAATAAGAGCGCGTCGTTATCAGTTGTGGATACTGCCAGCATAATATGAGTAATAACTAAAAACCAAAAATTCCAGAAAAGGTTTTAAAAGTAAATATTAATAATGGTTTTAAATTTAAAAAATGTTGACCAGGCATTAATTCGTCGTCCAGCTGCATGGTGGGTGGTTCGCACTTCTAACCACTCAGTCACAGGGTAGCCGCCTACTATACTCCTAAAGGTATGTGTATTTACATATGTATACATTTTTCTGGTACCAACTGTAAATATGTAGGTATATTTTACTTAAAATTGTTATTAGACAGATATTAAAAAAAAAAATCAAAAGACTTCTTTGGCCAAATTTTCGAAATCTGGCTTTACGTCAGTTAAAGCCGTTCGTAACCGTTCTGTTAAATGTTGGTTAATCAATAGGTATGTTCGTTTAAAATCTCCAGTAAAAATATCATTAGTCGCATTTCACTATTTTAACTTCCGAACAATCAAATTCAATTTAGGGGTTTGCGTAAATTCCAACCAGCGGTTTCCGATCAGCTGTTTTCTTGTTGGCAAAAATTTGTCCAGCAGAAACTAATAGCTTCCCCTCAAATTGAAACAAAAAATATTCCTAATGATTCATATAACCCATTTCTGAGTGATTAAGAACTTGGATTGTACATAGATATGCAATGTACAGGTCCAGTTATTTAAATTAATTTCTTATTTTGGAAATCCCAAATAAGGGTGCAGATCTGATGAAAGGTTGCAACCCTAATTAAAAATATTATCAGCCTGAAGTTTTCTTTCGTTTGATACTAATATTTCGATATTTCATCTAGCTTGCGTATAAGTAAAATAAATTCGACTTTTAAAACAGATTTCTTATACTCTTTCATTTTTAATATTTCATACAACTTGGTTATACAATAATTTAACTAGACTTCTCAAATAGCTGGCAATCCTCTTCAAAATATTTTCAAACTATTATGTTCTTAAACCTCCTTTATCTGAAAATCATATGGTGGTATATTATTCACTTAGCTAATTCCTTTAATTAAAATTGAATTAGATTTTTTAAATATGTATGTGACAGCCCTCCAACAGGTAGCTAATATAAAGCCTTTTCAAAACCATTTCGGTTGATACCCACATTGTAACAAGTGTTTTAACTAATTTGAGCTTAATTTCTTAACAGGTGGCAACTCTTTCGAACTCTCTCGAAAAAGTAAAAGCTTCTTCAACATCTAAAGCCCATACTCTTTCATTTGACACCTCACTTTTGAAAATCGAGCAAACGGTGCGGATCAAATAGCATTGATTATTAAATAATTTGGACTTAATTTTTTCACAGGTGGCAACTCCTTTTGGGCTTAGTTTTTTTACAGGTGGCAACTCCTTTCGAAAAAGTAAAACCTTATTGCATATCTACAGTCCAAGCCCTTTAATTTGACGTCCGATTTTTGAAAATCGAATGAACGGTACAGATCTGATAACCTAGACAAAAAATCCCTTCGCCTATTATATACATATATAGATAGATAGATAGCTGGGGCTCGACCCTATTAAGCTGGCATTTCAGGGTACTATTTTGTATATATATAAGGAAAATTTGAAAGCTAGGGGGGGGGAAGCTCAAGCTCTCTCAATTTTCTTAGAAAGAGTAAAGCATATTTGAATTTGAATTTACATCCTGACAGCTATTTTCAGGACACCCTAGCGGCCGTTGTTGGTAAAATTTAATTGCAAATTCAGATACTTGGAACCAGAAAATAAATGTATAAATATTTGCGTTTGAATCACTTTTAACTGTTTTGAAACCTGCTCTGCGACCACCAACCAGGGAAAACTGAGAATTTTTTTATTTACAATCCAGACTTATAGAAAAAGTTGGTTTAAAAAAAAATAAATTAAAAATGTCGCACAGTGTAATAGCTGAATGCCAATGACCTTTACTGCATATAAATGCATATACAAACATTATCATGAATTTGCATTAGTGCTCATAGCTAACTTGTCATCTTTGACACCGCTTTCTTAAGAGCTTCTTCGCCACTACTAATAAAGAGCAAACTGTTTTATGAATCTAAACATTGTCGTTGGGTATTTCCATTTGGGGATTTCCGAGACCCTTTGTGATGTCATTTTCTCATTGCTAATATTTTAGCGTGGACAATTTAGGCGAGATGATTCAGAGCATTCAAAATCTTCTATTTATTACTTTATCACTGGTAAGCCTAAAAAATAAACGCTCTTATATGTATTTTTATACATGTTGCTTCGTTTCATAGCAATTAGTAAACTTCCAGATGAAATTGGAATTAAAAGATCAGCTTCCTCGCTTTAATTTCGCTTATGTACATAATTATATGTGTTATAATGAACCTAATAATATACATACATATATTTAACATATATGTATATGTAGATCATAGAGAGAGAGAGCTTTTACTACATACCTAAATATGTGCACGCCGAGGTAAAATTTATAGAAAGCTTTAAAAAGCTTCTCCCGTGGGATATGCTTTGGTAATGACTTATGTACATATCGCACACGATCTTCAAAAGTGACACAACTCAAAATTTGGCATTTTTTAATTTATGCGCCAAAAATGGACAAAGGGCATTTTTTTACCCTTCAGCAAAAGCTGGAGCAAATTTTAGTCAATATTTGTTGAAAACAGAGCTGCTAAATTTCAATGTCATTAATTTTTTTGCATTTTTTAATTTTAATGATTATTTTAATTTAATTTAATATATAATTGGAACAGATCTTACTTATAGACATAGGTATGCATATTGACCGCGTTTTTGTTCTTCTCCTTGTGCATCTATCTTATATTAGTGTATTGATTCTTATCATATGTATGTATGTACATATATTAATGCGTTGCAATGTATTATTCCAAAGTTGAAAATAATTGAAAATAATCAAATAATTATATTAATCATGCGATTAAAATAAACCAAAAATAATTGAAAGTAATTAAATATGTATATTAATCATGTAATTAAAAAAATTAAATAATAATTGAAAATAATCATGTAATTGAAAAAAATCATGTAAATTAATTAAAATAAATTAATTATTTATTAAATAATTTTTTGAAAGTAATTAATTATTAATCATTAAAAAGGTGAAAATAATGGTATTTAATCATTAAACGGTTACCCAAAAAAACATTATTTAATTAACAACCATAATTTAACAATCATAATTTAACAGGTCTGATAGAAAAAAACCTAATGAAAGCGTCCCTTGCCCATGACCTGCAAATGGGAAGAAATAGTTTTTTGCATTTTATGAAAAACGTAAAATTTTTAGTTGTGTCACCTTTGAAGATCGTGGGCAATATGTACATACATATGAACATTAGGGCGTCACAAAACATAAAAAGGGATTTTTTTTTCTGAAAAAATAACCTAAATTACCTATCACATATTTGAGCGAAAAGTTGCGAAATACATTTACAAATTGTACACCAAAAGAAAAAATTACCTTATACCCATTTTATTTTCTTCAAGTATTATGCAGAAATTTAAATTCAAAATTGTTTGCACTTAAATCAGAAGATAACCCCATAAGAATTAATTAAAAGATTTCGTATTATTTTGTTCTTATCGAAATTTTGGCGCCTTTTTTAGACGTAGCAAATTTGACTTTCATTGAATAGATATAAACGAGAGGAAATAAATCAAGTGGCAATATTTCCTTTCGGAAACGATGCATTTTTACTTCCCCTTGTTTTCTATATCAAAATATCAGTCTCCATAAAAATTTGACTTAAAGAAAAACCGAGCTCCACTTTCTACTTACCGGCCTTTTTGACAAGCGAAAACGTCGAATTGATGGGACATCCGCTAAGTAGCCGTGATTTGACACCCAATGACTTTTTTTGTGCCTTCATATACGAAAATTTCAAATTTAAATTTAAGGCCAATAGGTCTATATGAGCCATTTATTTTGAAAGTGGCATAGGCCACATTGTTTTTACATCGTTATAGGGAAGAGACATTTTAGCATTCTGTGGTTATCCCTCTTTCGTTTATTTAATGTTTAGTATTCTTTTTTTTGTGAAAATGTTAATCAAAATATCGAGCTTTGTAAAAAAATTTGGAAAATTCGACAAAGTTTCATCAAAATGTTAAACTTTTTAATTATATTTCCTAAAAACATTCACTCGTCACTATAAAAAGGGCCCTAAGTAGGCAAAATGGATTAATGCTTTTAAATTACTCACTTATCAAATATTGACACGCCTTTATCGGTTAATACCCTACGATAAACGAACCGTCAAAAATCTAGCTCATTTCAGTGGGGTTGC